TGGCACATCTCAGAGTCATCCATAAAGGCTAGCCAGGAATGGGAAAGCACTGGGTAAAACCATCAGTGAGAATGCGGATATAAAATTGTAAGTGGCAAGAAGCCTGATGAATACAAGGATTTCTGATGATTGTAAAACCCAAGTACCCACTTCTTTTCACCCAAGCATCCCAAGTCAGTTAATGATAGGGTTGTCTTCTTCCTCCACCTCCTCTCCCTGTCCCATTTCATGAGAGATTTAGTGGGACTGAAAATCCGAGTTCCTCGTCTAAGTATTTTAAACAATAGCACAGTATGACTGTGATCTCATAAGGCTATATTTTTACTGTCACCTTGAATGTATAGTAGTCCCTGGTAATTACATGGTACTTTCTATCTGCAAGACAGTAAACACTTTATGCACATTAAATCTAATTCTCCAACTCCTCTGCCAAGACCAGAGATTGTGTTGAATCTCCACAGCTCCACTGGTTCACCCGTGTTTTACTGGTGTGTCTTTTCTGAAGGCAGAAATGCTGGTAAAGTGACCCCCCACTCAAGCATGACACAATGTAGGGTTAAGTAAAATGTCTGGGCTTTCCACAGAAGCAAGAGCATGAAGGATTGGTGTTTCATGACTGCAGCAGTCAAATACCTGTCTATAGGCCTCTGTACCATCACTAGTTACTATGTTTGATTACGGATTAGATTCCTAGGAACATTAGAAAATGTTTTGTCTGTTAAAGGATGCAGAATGTTGTTTCTGATGCATTGTCTGTTCCCAATATTTTACAAAGAAAAAAATAATGCCGACTTTTTGGCAGCAATTTTTGGCATCCTATTTTTTCTTCCTAAATGTCTGCTCTTCATTCTGTAGTCTGTTCATTGCTGAGAATTTCCTTTGCTGTGAAGAAGTTTCTAATTTCATGTAGTAATAGTTGTCAATTCTTGAGGCTATTTTTTTTTTGTGCTTTTGGGATTCTATCCAGAAAGGTTTTGCCCATACCTGTGTTTTGTTTTCTATGTTTATTTCTAGTTATCTCAGAATTTCTGGTTTCAATTTAATTTCATTTAATGTCTACTTTGAATTGATTTGTACAGGGTGAGAGGTACTGTTATAATTTCTTTCTTCCTCATGTCAATATCTGTTTTGCCAGCACCATGTATTAAATAAGATGGCTGCTTCTAGTGATGTTTGTGACAATTTTTGTCAAAAATTTGCAGTCCATAGTTGTGAGTGGTTATTTCTGAGTTCAATTCATGTTCCATGTCCTGCATGACTATGCCTATGCCAGCACCCTGTTGTGTTTATCACATGTTTCAATAACTCAGGCACCATTATTTTTGCATAGGATTGGTCAGGCACCTGTGTTCTCTGTATTCCTGTATGAAGTTTAGGATCCCCTAACTTCCAGGGTTGACAGAAGGAGCCTTTACCCACTGAGTCATCTCACTGCCAACCCCAATCCTTGTAATCAAAGCACTTATGGGTATAATTGATAGCCTATAGTTTTAATTTTCTGCTAACCTTTGTTGTTGTTGTTTGAGACAGGGTCTCTCTACATAGCCCTGGCTGTCCTGGAACTCACTGTAGACAAGGCTGAACTCAAACACAGAGATCTGCCTGCTTCTGCCTACAGAGTGCTAGGATTAAAGGAATTCACCACCACAGCCCTAGTTTTAATTTTCTTAACCATAGTCTTATTGCATTGCCTTGGTTAAAGCAGCATGATGACTTCAATCCATTATGCAAATGTAACATTTATTTCATTAAAATTTGTTAACATGATGGTATCTCTTAAGTTACTACAGCACAATAAATTGTGTTGAATGTTCTGTTTCTTTGTTTTTGATTTTTTATTTTGTCTGTAATGACAACGTATTTAAAATAAAAGTCTTTAAAATGGCAGACTAATATGATAACATGTCCTCATTGACAATTTACTACTTGGCTACAATGAGCTAGTCTGAGAGATTTCATTAAAAACAGCAAGGTGCCTGAGCATCAAAACCAAGATGGTTTTAATCACAGAATTATAGTAATTATACAAATCCTGAGATTTTCATCAGACATAAAAGGCTTCCAAGGGCAAGCATGCACTTTAAACCTTGTACTAATAATTATGTATTGTTCTAAATGATAGTTGAAAGACTCCCTGGGGCCAGAGAAATTCTAGAGAATATATCAGAGACAAAACATTATATATTAAACTTTTACACAAAGTGGAGCAATAAACAATTTTGGTGGTGTGGGGACATTAGTAAGAGGCTTGTCTCCTGGGCAGTGCAAGAGGGCTTTCTCTGTATGAACATCAAATGCACCAAGTGCATGATACATTCAGGATGGGCCAGTGAGCCTGGATCATCACCATATCCTGAGTCAGAGAATGGCAGTGGAATCTCTTTGTACCAGAGGATCTGTAGTTGCAATTTCTTCTCATAAAGACTGGGGCACAATATTAAGAAAAGAAGTAATTATTAGACCAGATTCTAGACTGCTGAGGTTGAGCACAAATATTGTAAAAAGCAATTTCACCATATAGGTATTATTTAAAATGTCATTTTCATAAAATGGCAGAGTGCAGATCCTCCTTGACTTTAAGATACCTTGTATGTAAAAATACCAGGAAGGGTCTATGAAAATATTCCTAAACAAAAATATTTATTTGATCCTTTTTATTGGTTTATTGATTAATTTATGGCTATAATGACTAGGATGGTCTAAATCAAACTATTGTGTCAAGGGTGCTGTCTGTGGTAGAGGAGGGAGGAAGAGTAGCCTTTGGGACATGGAGACTTGAGTCTGGCTTGCTCCTCCTTTATTACAAGGATTGAATGTTGGGGTGTGGTCATTCTAAGATCTACTGATGACTAAGCAAGACACATAAGTCCTCGTATAAGCCAGAAGAGTCAGCATCTCATCTCTTCTCTCCTAACCCATCCCTTTCTGTGGTAGAGTCCTCTTTGCCACTTGCAGGTGTTATTAGAGATTTGGCGAGATCTTTGTCACAGATTCCTTTGACTGTGTTACCATCAGCACTTTGTACTTCTGTATTTAAACTTCTGGATACTTCTTTACTTATTCAGAAAGCTCAGCATCTATTCTGATGGCCCTTAGGCCTGCTCCAGAGGACAGCTAGCATACAGGTATCCACATGTGGCTACTAGCCAGCACTGGTGGAGAAATCTGCTACCAGTGAGTTCAGTGACATCGAAGTTTTGCTTTGGAGCACTCCAGTATGTATCTCCATGAAGAATTACAATATACTGAAAAACAGAGATGAGTCAATACATCAGTCTCCATTCTCAGCAGAAGTACTGTTTGTATTTAGCAATGATTCCTACCCAATCTTTTTAGGTTCCCTTTGATGCACTTTGTGTTATGATTTACAGATACACTTATACTTAAGTATCTGCTGTAAACAATTTCCATAAATCTTGTTGTAGGAGTGGGGAGCCAATTGACTATTGATTGTCATAGTGAATGGGACTTCAGAGTCTTACGCAGTGAATTGCAATTTCATGGAACTGAATGTGGGGTTCATGAGAAATTCAGCAACTGTAAGATTTCTAGACATGCAGAGAGAAAAATGACTTTGAAATCAAATGCCCAGTGAATCTAAGTGTTTCTAGCAGTACTGACCCAAGCTGCACTGGAACACTTCATGGAAGCCTTGATTCTTAAGACAAAACACGTGCACTTTGCACTGCACATACTGTTACACCAAAAAACAACAGTGAATACCCAAAACATCTCAGCCCAGAATTATGTTATGAACTGCAGTGTATTTATTGAATATGCAAAATTTTCCACTCTTGTCGATATATGTTGGCTTGATTGTAGTAAACAAAGTATTTTTCCTTCTGCTGTTCCTCAGAATGTAAGTATGAAATTGGTGTATCTTGGATTTGATTTTGTTGAAATATTTGGATTAAATATATTCTATATGAGTTTTCCACTAGGTTTTCATAAATAAAGGCTAAACAAATGTTGACTTTGGATCAGGACAGCATTTTCAGCAAATTTCTGAAAAAGCTTTAAACAGGCTTCTACTGGTTTTCATTATACATTTATGCAAAGCGCTTTACTTAGCATCAGTGATTATAGAACCAGTTCTACAAAATGATGAACATGAGTCTTCCATCCTGTAGTACCAAATATTCCACCAAGTTGAATTATGTACACTAATCACATGGAACTCATTAATATGCTCATCTGCGATGAAATCTCACTTATGATCTGATACAGCTTGCCAGAAGATCAGAATGCAAAGCCAGCCACAGCCACAGAAGCTAGGCAGTGGTGGCACAAACCTTTAATCCCAGGACTCAGGAGACAAAGGCAGATGGATCTCTGTGAGTTCAAAGCCACCCAGGACAACACGAGAGTGAATCAGTCTAAAAGAGAACTAGAGCTCACACCTTTAACCCCAGCTCTAGAGAGGTATATAAAAATAGTAGTAGGGCATTCAGAATTTACATGGCAATTAGTCTCCAGTCACATTGAGGACAGGATACCCCTTCCAGCCTTGGCAGAGGTAAGAGCTTTCTGGTGGCTTGGATGTTGTGCTTCTCTGATCTTCAGTGTCTTTATTAGATCATAAACAATATATCACCACACACATCTGCTTATTCTTCAATAAATGTGGCAATTATATTTATGTAAAAGAATCACTTTAAAAGAAATGTATGTTTTGTGGTGACTAAATATTTGACTTGTGTGCTCATTTTAAATATTTATGTGCTTTGGATCAAGTGAAACTTTCTCAGAAAGGGATCCTGTATGTAAAATGTTAAAGACTGAATAAAACACTAAGGGTACCTGTCCTTTGTGTCTTCTCAGGTTCCCCCTCATCCTTGGCATGTCAGGAGGACAACGATGGGAACAAATGAGGTTCCATTTGACTGATTGTTTCTGCCTGGAAGATCTTCTCTTGGAAACAGGAGAGTGGTCTTGTGTCATGGTTGACATCTAAAGGCAGGCCACATTCTAGAAGGAAATGGATATAATTGGTCCAGGGAGCTTCAGAGGCACTGTGATCTAACCAGGAAAGCCCTTGTATGGGGCCTTTCTGGCTTCCTGGGATGCTGCACGTGCTGGACACATGGCCTGCACCTGAATGAGAATGGTCCGCCGTGGGCTGCTGGGGTGGATTTCTCGGGTAGTGATTGTGCTGGTACTGCTTTGCTGTGCCATCTCTGTCCTCTACATGTTAGCTTGCACCCCAAAAGGCGACCAGGAGCAAAAGGGACTGCCCTGGGCCAATGGCCCCACAGGCAAAGATGGCTACCAAGCGGTGCTGCAAGAGCGTGAAGAACAGCATCGCAACTACGTGAACAGCCTTAAGCGGCAGATCGCACAGCTCAAGGATGAACTGCAGGCACGCAGTGAACAGCTCCGCAGCGGGCTGGACCAGGCCAGCGATGCCACTGGTCTGCGCTCAGGCTGGGACCCTGCGCCAAAAGCCCAGGCCGATCTGCTGGCCTTCCTGCGTGGGCAGGTGGACAAGGCTGAGGTACATGCGGGTGTCAAACTGGCCACAGAATACGCTGCCGTGCCTTTTGATAGCTTCACCCTGCAAAAAGTGTATCAGCTGGAGACTGGCCTGACTCGCCACCCTGAGGAGAAGCCTGTGAGGAAAGACAAGCGAGATGAGCTGGTGGAAGCCATCGAATTTGCTCTGGAGAGTCTGAACAGCCCTGAGGAAAGCAGCCCACACCAGCGTCCTTACACAGCTGCAGACTTCATAGAAGGTTGGCATGCATGTATTTTGAGGGTGTGGGACAGGGATTGAAGTGTTTTGTGAGGGAGATACCAAAGGTGTGTTGTAGTTTCTTTTATCAGAAGCACTTGCTTCCCCTCACTTTCTCTTGGAAACTACCATAAATACAGTTTAGTTGCTCTGTCTTAGTCAGTAAAGGGCTTGCCTGGAAAGTGTGAAAACTTGGGAGTTCAGATTCTCCACACCAAGATAGGCAGCTCACAGTTTTAGTAAAAGACATTGTAGAAGGAAATCAGTTGGTGAACAACTGAGAAGACACCCATTGTCATCCTCTGGTTTCCACATACAAGCTCATGTGTGCACATCCACTCGCCCCCACAAAAGAAAAGAGTTAAAAGAGACCTAAATAGAATATATAAGTAATTTCATTGTGCCCTTTACCATAGACAATTCTAGTAATTGGATTGGGCTGTAAGACCCAGAAGAAAGCACAGAGCAAGGCATTTACAAGTGCCAGACCCTGTTGGAAGCATGTTTTGTGTACATTTTGTGTTCAGTAGGACCCTGTTATGGGACAAGGAAAAGGAAGTACTTACTTACTAAGGGAAAGGCTGGTACTACAGACATAGCCAGGACTTGCACCCACGACTGAGCCTTGAGTGTACATCCTTAACCAGTGTCACGTATAGATTGCCATCACTAATGGAAGTGAGAGGAGATGTTCACTTCTTTCATGGGCACAAGGCAGTCTGGGCCTGATTGTGTTTGTGTCTGATTCTTTAGGAGACACTCTTCTTGTCTACTTTCTGGGAAGACTCATTGGTATCATCTTAATTGATACATTATTACTGGTTCAGGAACATCTACTAATCTGGAACAAGCTTTTGAAAGATAAAATCTTCAACATGGCCAGAAATACACCTGTGTCTTTTTAGTTGTTACCTTTTCTATTTGGAAACTATGCCATTGCCTCCAGGAAAGACTGTTTCTCTTCAGTCAAAAATTCTCCCAGGCAGGGATGAGAGCTAAAATATTCAAGTGTTTGCACTGAAAGCATAAGGACCTGCCTTCATTTGCCTAGGACTCCACCCTACCACTACATGCAAAGCCAAGTGTGGTGGTGCACACTTGTAATCCCAGTTCTAGGGAGGTGGACACAGACACATCACTGGTGCTCACTAGCCAGCTAGCCAGGAATACCTGGCAAGCTCCAGACCAGTGACAGACCCTGTCCTCTACATGAACACACCTATACATATTAGCCACATATGCACCTACATATGCAAGCTACACACACATGCTTACCTATGCACACATGCATATGTGTGCCCGTGTGTGTGTGTATGCACACACATACAATCCTCTGCTATTTCTTTTGCCCCTTTATGCACTTGACTACCTTGAGATTTTTTTTAACTTTATATCTGAGCCATAAATTCATGAACTTTTAATATAGAATAATTTTTCACACACTTAGAAGCAGGTAAAGAAATCACTTACATGATCAGTCATCTGGTGAGATGATTTTTGTAATTCATGTACTTAGATACAACAAAGACAGCACATCTCTAGCCACTAGCTAGTGTAAAAATAAACACATGATGAGCATTCAGTAAGAGTTCAGGCTAGGATGAGACAGCATCACATTTGATGGTGCTTTGTAGTTTATGAGGTTTATGTATTATTTTACTAGCTGACCCTTGAGGGATATCATTAAACATCATTTTAAAGAAACCACTACTATGCTATGCTCCCGTGAGTATGCTATGGATTGCTGCCCATATACAAAGCAATTTGAAAAGAACTTGATTACAAATCAATGCCTGCAGCTTGGAAAGTTTACCCTTTTGATTTTTAATCTGCCTTCATTTTTGAAATCTCCATCTGCTTGCTTTTCATTATCTGGTCTTGGTATATAAGGCCAGTCCTTCTCAGGCAGCAGAGATACCAACCTGGGTTTGTTTGCTCTGAGATCTGACTGACTGACTGTTAAAGACGCTGTCACCCAAGCTGCCTGGTGTTGGTTCTATGTATAAAACACTGCTGATAGTCCTAGGGAAACCAAGTCACAGGTAGCTTCTGAATTTGGTGTAAGTCTAGACAATTATTCTCATGTGCTGAACACAAAACACTCTTATTTGTGTGTGACTAATAGGTATAAACAGCTCAGGTTATTTGATTTTTAAATTGTTATCCATAGCAAAGCAATATGGGGGCCATCTTCTATGATCATAGAGGCATTTGGGAAGAGTCTAAAGTCAGAAGAAGATGCAGGAAGCAGAATTTAAGTTCAACATAAGAAGCAAATTGAAAACAAGGTTGCCTCAAGATTGAGTGCAATTCTTATTACTATGGAATCAGCTGGAAGACTGTTGCCAATTGTGATTCTTGCTGCAGAGAGTGGTTGGATTGGATTATACTCCATCCTCTCAGTCTTGGCTCACTTGTCTCTCATCTACACCTATTCAAAGTGAAAAAAGCAAATGGAAAAAGTCCATTTGAGATCTGTTTTCTACAATGAGTTTGAGCAGGAATAAAGACTTTGCTAGGAGTAATATATTTTTAAAAAAATATTTGCATTTCTAAACATAATTGGAGAGAAAGTGATTTTGTCTGATGTATGAGATTTTGGTGGTTCAAAGTTGGAGTCATTTTGCAAAAATCCATGGGAAATTAAGTTAAACAGTAGTGTTCTGTGTGCTCAGGAGATTCTAAACGAAGTCAGTAAATCTGCCTGGCACTGAACTAGCAGGCAAGGATGGGTTGCCTGTGGGTTTACTAGTTCCTTCTCCTGTCGCTATTACCAGACACTTTAGGAAGAAGCATGGTGGGAGGCAGGTCCATGATGCAGGTAGATACCCCTCATCTCACATTTTAGTGGAACAGGAAGCAAGAAGCAAACAGAAGTAGGCTGGAGGCGTGACTCCTCAAGGCCCTCCTCCAGTTACCCACTTCTTCCCCCTGGACTAAAGGTTCCACAATCTTCCAGAGACAGCACCACTCAGTGGAGACTAAGTGTTCAGACATTTGAGGCCAGGATACACTTAATATTCATATCAACAAATTATTTAAAGAAATAATAAAATCCTATGTGGTGGAATGCTTCCAGGTAACCATGGTATAAAACTTAAGATGAGGCAGGTGACATGAGCTCTGTGTGACTTACAACAAGATCCTTAGGCTCCTTGAGAAATGTCTTGGCCTCTGTCAATAAGAAACTTGCTGTGCATGTTTGCCTAGGCTCTTCCTAGACTCAGGTGGAAGAGTGCTCCCGCATCCACTTGTTGGGTGACCAAAGGCAAGTCACTAACCCTACAAAGTGAGAAATTGAGAACAAACACTCACGACATCTGGTGTTACTGTGATAACTCTGTCCTTCTACAGAGCTTGCAGAAGGAGACTATCACACATCTGCCTACATATTTAATATCTATAGGATTTTTTATTTGTCTCTAAAATCTAAGAGGAACAATACTTATCTCTGTTTAGGGTTTCTCACAGGCACTGAGTTTTGTGCCTGTTGGATTGTCATTCAATAGCATTAACATTTTGCAGTCATTTGGGAAGAGAAGTGGATATCAGGCTTAATCAAGCTACTGCACTGGAATATCTAACTGTTCATCTCCTCATTTCTTTACATTTTATTACTTATTCCTTCAGAGGAAGATAGACACAATGGCATGCCATTGTCATTTGTCTTTGATTTCATGTTTCTTTAAGAGAGTAGCAAATGTGTTGGCATCATTCCACAAAGCAATTTATCTTTCTAAATCTTCTGCAACCCTAGCTGGGCAGTGATGGCACATACATTTAATCTAGCACTCAGCACTTAGGAGGCAGAGGCAGGGGCAGGGGAATCTCTATGTGTTCAAGGCCAGCCTGTTCTACAGAGTGAGGACAGGGAGAGCTGAGAAACCCTATCTCGAAAAACCAAAAAAAAAAAAAAAAAAAAAAAAAAAAAAAACAAACAAAAACAAAAACAAAAACAAAAACAAAAAACTTCTGCAATTCAAATACATGACAGTGGGACCCTACATGAGCATTTAGTGTCTGTTGTCATGGTAGGGTTATTCTATCACTTGCCTGCTGCTACTGCAGGGTTAGTGGCATGGAGAGAGAGTTCAAATGACTCAAATTGGGGGTGTGACTTAGTCAAACTCTAACCCATCAGAAAGACTTTTAAGGTGCTGTGGTTTGAATTCACCCCTCCAAAAATTTAGGTGTTGACAGTGTGTCAGTCTTGGATGTTTGGGCACTGAAGGACTAAAGGCTCAGGAATGTGATTGAGGTCTTTACAAAAGAGGATTTTTGCATCATTCTGTAGCTGCCCTTCCACCTTCACCATATGGGACACAGCATTCCTCCACAGAGGATGCAGGATCCACAGATAATGAACCTGCAGCAGAGTGGTCCTGAGTTTACAGGAGTCCAACACTGTGAAGACAAATTATCTTGCTTCAGGTTTTTTTTTTTTTTTTTTTTTTTTTTTTTTGTAGCAATGAAACTGACTGTGAGAGTGGTACCCTGGTGTATGTATGTATGTATGTATGTATGTATGTATGTATGTATGTATGTTTGGAGGTTACTATATAACTTTGTAGCAGGTTGTTCAGTCAGTCCTGACCTGCCCATTACAATCAAGACTTCAGGGAGCTATTGAGTTCTAGAGATCCATTGATTGTTTGTCACAATGTGACTTCTAGGGGACACTTTGCTCAAGCTTGCCTTGTCAAATCAAATTTAACTCTAGGTCTGTATTTTAGCAACCTACTGGTAAGTTATATGCCAGGGATGACACTAGGCAGAAAAGAAGCTCCTCCCTCAGCATTCATACCAGAGACATGCTTCTTGTTAACCACTTGGTGTTGAGTCAGAAATACACAACACATTGGAACAAATTGCTCTACATCTGGGGATCCAGCAGCAGAATCAGGAAATAGTGGGGATTCTGCACCCTGGGTGACCTTTGACTCATTTTTATGGTATGGCGGTACATGGGGGGGAACTGTGGTGAACATGAAAGCAAAGTGT